CAAGAGAAATGAGGGAAAATGGAAAAATGGTCAAAATAGGATACAATAAAATCACAGTGGAGGGCAAGGAATGGAGATGGTGCTATAAAGAAGAAAAGGTGTTGGAAATAGCGTATTCAAAAAACTACCAGAGCAACATAAAAAGAACCAAGGAGAGGCCAAGCAACGAGTAAAGAAAGAAGAATTACTAAATAAACCGGACAATGATGACAAATGTTTAGTTTTAAGTAGTAATAGGAATAGGATTAGAAATAATAAAAATAGATTATAAATCAATTTTAAGCCAAACCCCGGAAATGTCCCTAATAGAGACGCTTTCACAAATCTGAAGATATACCTGAACCAATAGTGTAATGAAATCCTTAAACTCTGGACTTGCTATAAATACCTTGAAGATAGTTTCTATCACAGAACTTTGTTTAAAACCAAATGCAACCTAGAACCAGAAAAAATAATATTCTCCGCAAACTTGTCAGCTCAAAATAGGAAGCACATTCTTCCACCCTTAAAACGTAGACTTAAACTCTATGCTTATGCTGCCGAATATACCTTGCTAGTATGGGTGACAAAAACACATACTTAACACGTAAGTATATTTAGCTATAAATTAGTCAGTCATCAGATCATCACATCTGCAAGATATACAAAAAAAAATATAAGCTGCACCTCGCCATCTGAACTTTCGAAAGGAACTTCCTTATGGTTGTTATCTTCCTTAAATTTGCCTGGAGGACTCTTGCCTGCAAACACCGGTTTACCTGTGTGAATGTGGGGTGGTATAAGATTCATCACACTTTCTTAGTTGACATTTCCATTCAAATCGCTCTTTTCTAAAGGGACAAGGTTTATTTATTTGAACTAAACATGTTAAGTATAGCCAGTAAGCTTTTACTTATAAAGATCATTGCAAATTTGAAACTAACTCCACTTATATTAATAACATATTACCCCTAAATAGAAAATAAAACATTCAGAAGTATGTAATATTGGAGAAGTGGTATAATGCTTGTTAGATAAATTCTTTCTTTTTTTGTGCAATACTAAGTACCCATTTTTACACAAAAATATCTATTTTAGCACTTAAATATTTATTTTGAGATAACCTTTTATCCAAACTTATATGTAGTACATAGATAAAATCAGAAATAAAATAATAAAAAAGCTGTATACAAGATATCATAAAACAATGGATGAAATAAAAGGAGTTCTTATTAATCGGATTCTTAAATAAAACTTATGAAGACATATTCACGTTAACAAAATACATTAGGAAATTTCCGCATATGAAACACAAATCCAATTTGGTAATGAAATCCTTTTGTATCTATAAAGCTATTTTTAGAGAACTCGTACCTACCAAAAACAGGTAGTTAATAGTATACATATCTGTTACACACTGTAATGCGTATGAATGATAACAAAACTAAGGAGTCCATATAAACCGTCCAGACTTTACGCGAGAATTATACATCCTATAGCAGAGTTGCCAAACTATCAGAGCTTACTTAAACCGATATACTTATGGTTCCAATATACAGTGAAAAAGATCTGAACGACCCCTATAAGATATACACGTGAACTAAGCGATATACATTTATGATACAGGATAATTATGGGCTCCAAATTTTTTTTTTAAATTATGAAACTATACATGTTGAAGAATCGACAGAGCCAATATTATGGAATGGTCAAGTGAGCTCCGTATATCGGTGTCCACTTGACCACGGAGCTCACCTGAACCTGAATTTTAACATGGGCGGAGTCCACTTTATGCCGTAAATATATATATACATATATTATATATTATAGGTTTAAAAAATAGGAACCTTCTTAATTTAATTAATTAGTAGTTTAAGATATATCTAGTATTAATTAATATACAAGTATGTAAATGGTCTGAATCTTAAGTTGGCTGCATTTGAAAACATATTTAATATTAGTTTTATAAAAATGTTATTCATAAAAAGTTCTGAAACTCCATAAACCTAAAATACCATAACATATATAAACCTTAATTTTGTACACAAAGTAAGTAGCTTTATATAAAAAAAACATAAATCATATTTTGAAACGCAACGAACTGCTGTTGTTACATCAATAAAAAATGTCAAATGGTACATATTTGTCCAAGAATTATCAAAACAAAAATGTGTTTAATTATTAACTAGTACTTTATACAAAATATCAAGAACCTTCTAGTTGAAATATCTTTGTTCACACCTATACAAACTTATTTATTTGCAAATGAAAGCCTGTGAAATGTACAATTGAAGTTGTATACAAAGTACTGTGTAATTCAGAATATTACCTACATTATTTTAATAACCTACTTCATTTATAAGTATTTATAATTATTGTTACCTGAGATTCACCAATTGTAGGGATTGCATTCTCACGCAAACGGACAAAAGCTAATGAGGTCCTATCTATACAGTCCTCCGCAAAATGTTTGGAACACAATTTGCTATGTTTTGATGGTTCCCAGTTCCCACACTATTTACAAACTGTATCCAGGCATTTCTCTTTTCAACATCTTTAGAAAATCTACAACCACATAAACCAAATTAAAAAGATTACCTGTTCTTTTTACACGCAGCATCACTAGAAACGGAAGTAATACCGCCCTGTACACTGTTTACAATTTCATACTAACCGATGAAAAGATATTCCAGTTGAGTTTTTCTTATTATTTCAACCGTTATTTAGACACAAAACAAAAGCACACGAAGCCATAATGGTTTCACTTTAAAATAAACGTAAAACCGTACAAAATTAAGTTCAAAATACTTTTAAAATCAAATTTCTATGCACAGAAGTACTGACACAAACAACAATCTGTCATGTCTACACCAATATGGCCGAACCGATCCCATCTATATTTCACGGTATGTCATACCCCTCTCTTACATATCACTGCGTCGTAAGAACCCCACAACCAGCGTTGCCAAAACATCAGAATAGTTAGTAAGTGAGGCATTTTTAAAATGTCAAATATTTGTCAAACAATATTGACAGTAAATACACTTAGTTTTAAGACTACTGCAACACATTAAAATACATAAGAAAACATTTTAATACAAAATTATATATTCTAAATTTTAAACTTACCTCTTTTAGGGCTTTAATAGTAAAAACGTCCCGCCATTATTTCTTGTTCAAAATAATCTATCTTATATGAAAACTTATCAGCTTTCTACAGACCATTTATTTGTTTTGGCATATCACAAACACAATACACAACAAATACTTTTAAAGCTATTAATCTAAATTTAATAGGTATTTATAAATTCAATTTATTATTATATATTATATTATTAAATTGTGTAAGAAATCAAAACATAAACAAAATTCCTAATCTAAAAAATCAGCAACACTTTATACACTTTTGCCACACGCTTAACTGTCAATAAAATTTGAGGTATTTCCGTGTCAGTTGCATATAATTGTCTAATATATTTAATTAAAATTATTATTTTGTGGAATATTAGACTTAGAGTTATTTCATAAAATTTATATTATTAATAATAACAAATGTTTTTGGTTATTTAATCAATATAATTTTAAAATTTTCAATATAATGATGATTACATTTTTCTGATTATTACACCATGTTGACGCCTATGAAAGATCGAGCAGTTCCGTATGGGTTTCGTATTATTAGCTGTGTTAGGAAAATTTGAACTCTAAAGTTGATGTTCTGGAAATTTTAAATACAAGTGACGTCACTTTGTATAAATCGTGATTCACTTTGAAAAAGGATATATTTAAATTATTTTTTTAGAACTTTTTAGAACTACTTCAAACGATTTATTGTCAAAACACCGCGAAAATCATCTGGATTCACCCCGAGTGACGGTAACAGATTTTCTATACTTTGCGATAAATTATAAATTTTATTTAAATCAGTCATACATATTAACCTCTACAGCAGTCAAATTCCTTTTTAGCATCATTTTACGCGGGAATACTTTCAACATTCGTAATAGATAACGAACCCAATCCAGAAATTGAAATCAGGAGATGTGTTAGGCAGGGATGAATTACTATCTCAAAGTGAAGGAATAATTATTAACGGAAGATCTATTAACAACATAAGATATGAAGATGACACTGTGATTATGGCAAGCTCTGCTGAACAACTCCAATTATTGCTAAACAAAACAAACAGTTTCTGTGAAAAATATGGACTAAAAATGAATATAAAAAAGACCAAATACATGATAATAACAATGAAAACAAATATACGAACAAACATACATTTGGGAAATATACCGATAGAAAGGGTAGATAAATACAAATACTTAGGAACCTGGATTTCAGACAATAATGATCAAACCACCGAAATAAGAGCCAGGATAGAAATGTCAAGAAATGCGTTTGTAAAAATGAAAACAATTCTCTGCAACAAAGACCTTAGATTAGAACTGAGAGTAAGAGCACTGAGATGCTACGTGTTTTCGATACTGCAATATGGATTTGAAAGATGAACATTGAAGCAAGAACACATAAATAAGTTACAGTCCTTTGAAATGTGGTGTTACATGAAGATGCTTAGAATAGCATGGACACAGAAGAAAACTAACGTGGAAGTATTGCGTGAAATGGGCAAATAATGCGAAATAATAAACACAATAAAAATAAGAAAGTTACAATATCTGGGACATGTAATGAGGGGACAGTGATATGAACTGCTAAGACTGATAATACAGGGAAAGATAACAGAAGGAAGGAGTATAGGAAGAAGGAGAGTGTCATTGTTGAAGAATTTAAGGGACTGGTTTAAATGCAGTTCTATAGAACTCTTTAGAGCAGCAGTAGATAGAGTAAAGATAGTTATGATGATACTCAACCCCCGATTGAGAGACGGCACTTAAAGAAGAACTTTCAACATGCTAAAAAGTATTCTTTCTACATTCTATACAAGTTAGAAACATATTAAATAAATTGTTAATAAAAGAAGCTAGTTTGTTTTACTGGAGGAGACAATAAAACACTAAGGATCTTTCATAACTTATTATGTATTTGTTTTAGAAATCACTAACCATGATATAATAAAATAAAAAAGTCCTATTGGGTATACTGCTAATAGCTTCCTATTTGGCTTTTGGCTGTCTCCTAAGAAAATCATTGAAGCTAAAATAAGAAAAATGTTATTTTGTTAAAACACGTCAATTTGACAACAAATTTTACAATGTAACTTACCATAAGTTGCCCAAATGAATCCTACCATAGACACAACAAATCTTATGAAAAAGACGAGAGGAATTTGGTGAAATAATAAAAGAATTCTACATACAATAAGGGCAATTGACGTGGGGAGCAGACAATATCCTAGAACACATACACTTTGGAAGAAAGATCTGAAACAGAAGACAAAAATTAAGTATCTACAAAATCTTTTGTATCTTTGTTACTCTTATTATATCTTTTGTTCAAATTCTTCTTTAAAACTATCCAACAATAAAAGAAATGTAAGAATGTAAAAGAAAGGAAATTACAATTAGATGTAAATTTAAATTCTTCAAACCTTAATATGATTTAAACTTTGAATATAACCTTACTTAACTTGATTTTACTTTCTATGTCATTATATAGTCATATCTCATACTAAGACTTCATATATTATAAAAGTGAATTGGGAATTCATAAGGAATATAGATAAAATGGACGTAAACATGCAGTGTGATACATTTATGTCTACTTTTCTACACACTTTTAATAAAATGGCAAGAAAAAGACAATGGTTTTACAAGGGAGTGGATTCAACAAAGAAGTCTAATGTAATTAAAGATATCTCCAAGTACCCTGAAGATTTTAAAAATTGACTTAGAATGTCGGAACACTATTTTCAATATTTATTGGAACTTGTTAGTTCCAAAATAAAAAATCTACTAATATGAGAGAAGCTCTACCGACCAAACTGAAATTGTAAATAACACTTCGATATTTATTGAAGACTCTTTTAAAAGTTTACAATATTTATTTAGAGTCCCCAAATCATCCATAAGTAAATTTATAGAAGTTTTGGATGCAGTTTTTGATGGTCTAAAAGAATTTATCCACGTAAGTTAAAACATGAAATGTCTTCTCCAGAATAGACGCTTCTACGTAACGCTCCAGTCCAAGAACAGTCGGTGGAGATTTCAAAAATGGACTCCCACAGCGAAGTGTCCTCGCGCCATTGCTATACAACATTTACACCAACGACCAACCCAAAAACCAACAAACAAGACAGTTTATTTACGCGGATGATACAGCTGTGGCAGCTCAGGGAAGTTCCTTCAATGAAGTCGAAGTAAAACTGACAGATGCCCTAGAAGACTTAGCAGTTAGCACTATACTCTGACGAAAACCATCTGAAACCCAATCCTACAAAAACCCAGGTGTGTGCTGTCCACCTTAGAAACAAGCATGCCCGAGGGACACTGGAGGTGGAATGGCGTGGTCAGATGCTGGAACACAATGAGTTGCCAAAATACCTCGGCATATGTCTGGATAGAACTCTGTCTTATCGATATCACTGTCAAGATATCAAGAAAAAAGTAAGCGCCAGAAATAATATCATCCTGAAACTAACCAACACAAAATGGGGAGCACAACCACACACTCTCCATACCTCTGCCTTAGCATTATGTTCTTCTGCCGCCAAGTTTGGAGCACCAGTGTGGGAAAACTGCTCACGCTAAAAACGTCGATGTTGCGTTAAATGAAACGGTTCGTATATCTGGTTGCCTGAAACTGACAACTATCAAAGAGGTCTACCCTATAGTTGGAATCGCTCCACCTGCTATCAGAAGACAGGTCACGTCAGAGATAGAACGAAAGCAGCAGGAGATGGATCGAAGACACCCCTTGTACAACAATCAAAGTTCAGCGAAGTAGATTAAGATCTCGGAAAAGCTTTCTGAATAAATTACGATCCCTTCCCGAAGAGTTAAAGACACGCCGAATACATCTATGGCAAGTGTCAACTACAACACATTTTGCTATCTCAGAGGAAATGGCTGATGGTCACAATTTGCTGTATCCCACATTGAAAGCGCTAAACAAACTTAGAACTGCTGTTTCACGTTGTGCTAGTAACCTGAAGAAATGGGGATACCAGGAGAACAATACCTGCGACTGTGCAGCGGTTCAGAATAATCACCATCTACTATCATGCACAGAGATCAGAGAGACCTGCACAGAAGAAGACCAATTCTTAGTGAATGATAGGGCCATCATAGAAATAGTTTTATATTTGAAATTCAACAAAATGTGTTGTATTTATAGGATCATATTCAGACTCATCTTTTAAATTTGATAAAAAATATGCTTCATCCATAATGAATTCTCAGCTGAAATACTCTTCTACAATTTTCCAAGATGACTGCAAGTATTTGCCCTTATCTCTGGCATGATTTCATTTAGTATGATGTTTGCTATATCACCTTAACATTTGCTAATTTAAAAGGATATTTCTTTCCGCCACTTCATTTTTTAAAATCTTTTTAAAAATGATCTTTTCAATTGGGTCAAGTTTCAGAGGATAAGGTGTTAAATGTAAAACCAAATAGCAGTACAGGGTTTTCAAGGCTGGTGTAGGACATTTTTTAACAGTTACACACTGAAATGATTAAATGTTTTCAGCAATGTTGGATTTCATTCTTTAGTTAGTAGACTAATGTCACCAAATAAGTGAATCAGATTCATTAAATTTTGTAAGATGAATAGCCATATGTCATACATACAATCATGTATGATAAATTGTTTGTTTATAAATAAAAAATAATAAATAAAAAATTGTGCTTACATGTTTCCTCCCAATAACTTAGAATTTAATGTTACAATCATGGATCCAATCCATACAATCACAAAAACTTGTGCAAATTCAGGACCACCATCATTTTTGCTTGTGTCATCACTGGAACCTTGGAGGAACCTACAAAAATAAAAAAAAATATATAAGATTCATCAAACTCAACAGCATAACATATACTGGGAATGACAAATATTGACATACAAAAACTCTTGAATTATAAAACATGTATTAATAGCAGTTACAAGTTACTAGAAATACTTAAGAAATATGGTTAGAAATACGCAACTAGTTAGACATGTATAGCTGAAAATGATAGAATAATGTTTAAAAATAGTATTCTATTGTAGTCCAATTCAAAACTACTTATGTATTCCTGCCAAAGAGATTTTTAATGCAACTGGTCACTTCTATTTACATGATTATTCCTTTGACAAAGAAAAAAAAAACAACAATATTGCACATTACAACATGTTCATTAAATGTTTTCCCAATATTTACTTGCTAGGGCTTATACGACTTATACTTACATAGCCATGAGGGTGCACAACAGCAAAGGTCCCCATAAGTCCCCTAAAAATTAAGCTATATAGTATATTTGAAAAAAAAAACATTGATTTCGTTTAATACATACATTCCTTCAACAAAGTCTTCTTCTCTTTTGGGAACAATACATATGCAAATTTTATCCCAACAGCTTTTAAGTCCCTTAACTGAAACATAAACAAAATTATTCTGATCAGTAGTGCTGCGAGACACAAGCTTAGATAAATGATTGTATGGTGAGGTTGGCATCTAACGAAAGAGATAACTAAACTCAACTATTAAAGAAGAACAAAAGTATCTGGAAAAATAAAGAAAATTCAGGCTATGCGTCTATGTTCTTTGATATGTATGTAAATATTACCACTATCCAACGTGGACAATTTTCATATGAAAGAATAAAAATGATCTGCACATCAGGATATTTGATTTATTTAATATGTTTATTAATCATACTTACTATTGTATCGCGAATAGGCTCATTTAAAGTATTAAAGTCTGGCTCTCCTATCTGAGAGGTATTTTTTGGTTTTGGAATATTCATTTCTCCATCCACGTATTCTTCCCCCTCATCAAACATCTAAAACAAACCCCTAGATATAAAAATACTAACGTCATATCGTGATAGATACCTCTAATTTTGCTGTATCCATTTTTGTGCTGGTTATTCTAGTGTAATCATTAATAATTTCTAAATTGATGAAGATTTGCCATTTCAGTTTGTTTATCTATAATCTATGTGTCATAGTGTCATTCATTCATTGTCAACCAATGGAATGGAAGAAAAAACGTCAATGTTATGTGGCTTCTAATTTCTTGGTCCTGTAACTACTTATTAGGTGACCAGTCTTACAGCCGAAATGCATTTTATAACGATTTTATGTATTATAGAGGTTTTCTATTTTTTATTCCAGTTGTGCTTGTAGTCGAAGTCGATATACAGAATGTACATTACTTTTGTCTAGATTTATTTTTGTACTAATATTTCACGTTTCCATATACGCGGGAATACGTGGAGTAGGTTTCATTATACATAGAAAGTACAAAATATAGTTGAGATTACCAGCATAAGCCCCAGGATTGTATATCTCATCTTCAAACTAAATGCAACATATGAACCTTAACTTAACGTAATCCAGACATATGCTCCAACAACTACTCACTCGGATAAAGAAATTGAAGAATTTTATGAACATACCTAGACCTAGAAACAGCGTTACATGTCACACCAGCATATTACACAATAATTGTGGGCTACTTTAATGCGAAAATGGGGTTTAAACAAGATGATGCAAAAGTAGCAATGGGTAAGTACGGCTATGGCGAAAGAAATGTACGGGGATAAATATTGCTGAACTTCTTACACCAGGAAAATTTATTCATGATGAACTCTTTTTTCGATAAAAAGCCTCAGCGTGAATGGACATGGATCAGCCCAGATGGCAGTGTCAAAAATGAAATAGATTATATCATAACAAAAAATAAATAATCAAAGACATCGCTGTACTCAACAAATTTTCCATAGAATGCGACGACAGAATATTCCGAGAATAATATCCTAATAAATGTCAGATTGGAAAGAACAAAGATGATTCTAAAAGCAAGAAAAAAGAAATGGATTCTCCCAGAAAACTACGACCTGTATGAAGATACAATAACCAGACATATACAAGACTTGCAAGACGAAATAGAAGATGTAGATTAAGCAAATGATGGCACAATGAAGGCTTTAAAGAAACGGAAAGGGAGTGCTGCACGACCGTTTTGACCCATAAAGAAAAACTAAGCCAAAATACAAAGAGATAATAGGTATAGTACATCCACTAATAATTTTCCAACATAAATATGCCTCACTCTGATTTCAAAGAGACCGCCTTTCAAATCAAGGTTGTCAGATATATTTCCTAAAATTCCTAAGGTTATATTTAAAAAATATTCTCTATTCTCTATTCGTTATTATTCAATTGCTAGTCAACGAACGACACTCTTAAAAAATAATATGAACATATTCTCAAAAAATATATCTATATAAATTAATTAACTAGTACTAATATTTCCATGGACTCTTCACTAATGAATTAAAGCAACTGTGAACTTTGTATATATAACTTATACTCTAAGTAATTTTCGAATATCGGCAACATTGTAGTCTGGACAGAATTTCGAGGTGATTTCGATGTTCGGTCTATATCGACGTTGCCATGTTGGTGAATTTAGCGGTAATACTCTTATAGATATAATGATCGACTTTTAAGAAATCAGACAACTTTTAAGAATCCAAGTTCTGAAAAAACGGTTTCAAGAATTGTATTATTTTTTTCCAAATTTTATTGATTTTATACCTTACCTGGAAACATGAAAAATTGCAGATATATTAATTATGGTATTAAAGTTACATTCAATAATTTTAAACTTGGCAACAGCGAAGCGCATCGCAATAAATCTTGATGGAACACCTGTTTGTCTGGCTATATGACACCCTAAATAGTTCATTTTGCAAGCAGCTATCAGAGGCGGATAATAAGGTAAGTAATATTATATTTTTTCTAGGATGGCATTTTGGAGACCATTTGATACGAATGATCAAGATGCATCAACTTCTGTGTTATCAATAGATAATGACAATTATGTTAATGACAGCCCCGAATTAAAAAATAAAGATTTGCACGTACAATCCCAAAGAATAGTTTTAAATATGTATGAGTGTTTGAAAAAAGAAAATATTTTGATGGCTGATAATGCAATTGTTTCGAGAATTCATGTATTAACAAAAATCGGTATAAGACGATATATACAATTATTAAATTAGGCATTGTTACAGATCATTCCTTAAAACGAAAGCGACCAAATAAAAAATTGGGTAGGATTGACACTGCTGCAAAAGACGTTATTCAGCGAACAGTTTACAATTTTTACAAAGAAAATAGAGTGCCTACTTTAGAACTGATTCGTGAAAAATTGAGAGATTTCCCTGAATATAATTATACATCTTTGGAAACACTGCGCGAGATTTTGATAAGTTGTGGATTTAAATATAAGAAATTAGATAATCGAATGGTAATAATGGAATCTCGGCGTATTGTTGAACTTCGACGAGAGTATTTGAGTAAAATAAAACAGTATCGTAATTCAAACAGAAACATAATCTATTTAGATGAAACCTGGTTCGATACGCATGATGTTGTCAAGTACGGCTGGGTTGACAACACAAACAAGTGTGCATTAAATACACCCTGTTCACGAGGAAAACGTGTTATTATTCTTCATGCCGAAGCAAAGATGGTTTTGTATCTAATGCATTGCTATTGTCGGCCAAAAATATAACAAAGTCTTCTGCCGATTATCACGAAGATATGACAGCCGATTTATTTGAAAAGTGGTTTGTTGAACAACTCTTGCCCAATATTCCGCCGAATTCAGTGATTGTTATGGATAATGCGTCGTATCATTCCCGCATATTAAATAAAATACCTAATAATAACACGAAAAAGGACGAAATTTTAAAATTTATGGAACTTAAAATATCACTGTTCCTAAAAAGATTCCAGTAAAAAAAGAATTAATTAGAATGATCAAAAGTCGGAATTTCAAAAACGAATACGTTATTGACACCATTTGCAGCAGGCACGGCCATACTCTTTTGCGATTACCTCCATACTATTGCATTTTAATCCAATTGAAATGGTTTGGGGTACCGTAAAAAAAACGATTGCGAAAATATAATCAGTCACCAACATTAAGCGCAGTGGCCATTGAGAATATTCGAGAAGTAATTAGTGGCATTAATAGCGATGTGTGGAAAAGTTGCGAAGCTCATGTTGTAAAAATAGAAAATGAATATCCTGTTTTACCGGCAATAGCACCAATAGTTATACAACCTGGGAACGATTCGACTTCAGAAGACTCTGACGATTCTTTTTAGTCCTTCTAATTAATTTCTTTACAGCTATCGCGATGCATCTTGAACACTAGTATTCATTATTATACAGTGTGTCGCATTTAAGATGAAGACACCTCTATATATCAGCTATCAAAATACATACAGATTAGAAATTTTGCAGTCATACATGTTGATAGTGCACATATTTTTAAGATAGTTAGTTATCTGAAATTTAAATTTTAAAACGCGGCTTACTGCGAATCCACAAACAGGGTAAATTTTCGATATTTTGCTTCGCGTTAGAGAAATCGGAAAAACTTATTTGGAAAAGTTATTCCACTTATTGTAACCGCACATTCCAAAATTCATGACAAAATTCGCAATTTTAGTTTTTCAGTATTATTTGTAATCTCGATCCTAAATCTACAATTGGCTGTCTAAAGATGCATCTCGGGACAGCCAACTGTCCGTTTTAGAATCCTGACTACAATTAAGAGCTTATTTCCAAAGTGTCTTAAATCCATATAATGAAATCCATGAAATTACAGATTTTCATACAAATTTAACATACAAATTATACAATTTTACAATTTTCATATGCACTTTTAAATGGCAAATAAGAAGTTGTTTTGGTACATATAACTTTATTTTAGACTTGAAGAAATCTATAAAGTTTAAAAAAAGAAAATTAAAAAAATCGAAATTTGGATTTAAGACACTGGAAATAAGCTCTTCAATTAATGAAAAAAGTAAAAGTGCGAATTTTGACATAAAACTTTGTTATGTGGGGTTATAATAATATTTGGAACATCTTTTCCAAATAACTTTTTCCGATATCTCTAACTCGAAGCAAAATATTGAAGATTCACTCTGTTTGTGCATTAACAGTAGGCCGTGTTTAAAAATTAAATTTCAGTTGATTATCTTAAAAAATGTGAATTGACAACCTGTATGACTGTGCAAAATTTCAAATTGGTATTTATTCTAATAGCCGAAATATAGGGGTATCTTCATCTTAAATGCGACACACTGTATAGAGTCAGAACAAAAAAAAAACAAAAAACAAAAAAAAATATAAAAACAAAAAAAATTCTGTCCTTTGAAGATTCCTATTCAAAAATACCGCGTTTAAACAAATCGAAGGTTGAAGGTGCCGGACATTTTTGCAGGAAACAATTCAAATTCAAAAGATCTCCTTTTTCTGCTACGGAAAATATTACCCCAAATTTCTCACCAAAATCAATGTCGAGACTTTAGTTTAAATACTCTTGAATCTCAAAAATACTCATTTACATATTTTTCAAGCCTCGAAAATGCATATTAGGTATCGCATTTTTCGGATTTTAAATCGCCTATATCTCCAAAACTATTAACTTTTGAGAAAAATGACATAGATCTTATTTAGAGTCATCCAAAAACCTAAAAAATATTTTTGGAGCACAAAAGGTGATATTTTGAATTTGTTTAAAAAATTGTTCTGTAAAAAAAAATTTTCCTGAATATAATTATGTAAAAATTAATAAAAATTATGATTTTTCTTGAAATATGCGTTTGATGAACTGATCCCTTTTCTTAATTTCCACGCCAATGGTCGGCATTTGCATCAAAGAAGCTCAAAAGCCGCCACTTGGAAAATTGACTTTGGAAAAAGTATAAAAGAAGAGAGCTGGCGGAAAAATACGGCTCCAACTACACAACAATGAAGACATTAAATAAATATATCCACCGGTCAATCCGAAAAGACGAAAGAGAAAACAATACAAGAGAAACAACTATAATAATTCAAGAAAACAGAAGTTTAAAAGTTTTGAGGCGAAATACGATCAACATAGGCAACAAAAATATGTACAAAATAAAAAACAAAGATGGAAAC